AATCCTGGGAAACGGTGGGATGACAAGGTGTAGCAGCATCACAGCACCATCAAAGCGTGGGGTTGTGACCTGTGCATTTCATTACAGCCATGCAGCCTACATCCAACACCCACAGCCTTTTATCTCCCCCACACACTCAGCAGGCACACACACACACGCATGGACTAATCATTAATAACCTGAGATTGCAAAAATATAAATGTATCTGAGGCTGCTCCCCCTGTGTGCTCAGAGTTCAAGAGGCACGGATGCTCATTACAACCCTGTCGTATTTCCACCATATTAATTGTATTTACAGAAAAATGGAGGTTAGCAGAATTAGAATGTTCGCCTCGGAATGGATGACCCTGTTTCTCAGCATTGGATGTATAGTTGTACTGTTATGGCTTTGGAGGGAGGGAAAGGATTGTGTACGTTTAGATGACGCAACAATAATGCAATGCACTGATATAACATCTACCCATCGAGTGAATGTATAACTGAACATAAATATGTTCCATCCATTCCACTGGTGAAAACTATTAAAACGTGAACTATTCATACTTAATAAACCAACATGGGTTCAAGGAAATGTAAAGTGTCAAAGTACATCTATGATGCAATTATATCAAACAATCCTATAATTCCATATGTGTATAATCAATTCTATACTAAGGGTAAACAATATCAACTGGATAGTTTCTTGGCTTCAGAATGCCATCACGTTCACTTGGCTCAACTGGATGCCTGCATGCATTAGTAGTTTTAACAAGGTTATTCACTATGCCTCGTGACAAAAAGCAGGGGAACAATCCATCTCACTTATCACTGAAGTATGTGCCATAATGCATATTCATATGATGATGAATAGAGGGGCTTGTGATTGCAACGAATGGACACATCTAAGGTTGCTGCTAGTATTTGAATAAGGGCTAGCAGCACAATATACCACATACTATACAGTTGAAGTCGGAAGTTTACATACACCTTAGCCAAATACATTTAAACTCAGTTTTTCACAATTCCTGACATTTAATCCTAGTAAGAATTCCCTGTTTTAGGTCAGTTAGGATCACCACTTTATTTTAAGAATGTGAAATGTCAGAATAATAGTAGAGAGAATGATTTATTTCAGCTTTTATTTATTTCATCACATTCCCAGTGAGTCAGAAGTTTACATACACTCAATTAGTATTTAGTAGCATTGCCTTTAAATTATTTAACTTGGGTGAAACGTTTTGGGTAGCCTTCCACAAGCTTCCCACAATAAGTTGGGTGAATTTTGGCCCATTCCTCCTGACAGAGCTGGTGTAACTGAGTCAGGTTTGTAGGCCTCCTTGCTCGCACACGCTTTTTCAGTTCTGCCAACAAATTGTCTATAGGATTGAGGTCAGGGCTTTGTGATGGCCACTCCAATACCTTGACTTTGTTGTCCTTAAGCCATTTTGCCACAACTTTGGAAGTATGCTTGGGGTCATTGTCCATTTGGAAGACCCATTTGCGACCAAGCTTTAACTTCCTGACTGATGTCTTGAGATGTTGCTTCAATATATCCACATAATTTTCCTTCCTCATGATGCCATCTATTTTGTGAAGTGCACCAGTCCCTCCTGCAGCAAAGCACCCCCACAGCATGACGCTGCCACCCCCGTGCTTCATGGTTGGGATGGTGTTCTTCAGCTTGCAAGCAACCCCCTTTTTCCTCCAAACATAACGATGGTCATTATGGCCAAACAGTTCTATTTGTGTTTCATCAGACCAGAGGACATTTCTCCAAAAAGTGCAGTTGCAAACCGTAGTCAGGCTTTTTTATGGCGGTTTTGGAGCAGTGGCTTCTTCCTTGCTGAATGGCCTTTCAGGTTATGTCGATATAGGACTCATTTTACTGCGGATATAGATACTTTTGTACCTGTTTCCTCCAGCATCTTCACAAGGTCCTTTGCTGTTGTTCTGGGATTGATTTGCACTTTTCGCACCAAAGTACGTTCATCTCTAGTAGACAGAACGCGTCTCCTTCCTGAGCGGTATGACGGCTGCGTGGTCCTATGGTGTTTATACTTGTGTACTATTGTTTGTACAGATGAACGTGGTACCTTCAGGCATTTGGAAATTGCTCCCAATGATTAACCAGACTTGTGGAGGTCTACCATTTGTTTCTGAGGTCTTGGCTGATTTCTTTTGATTTTCCCATGTTGTCAAGCAAAGAGGCACTGAGTTTGAAAATACATCCACAGGTACACCTCCAATTGACTCAAATGATGTCAATTAGCCTACCAGAAGCTTCTAAAGCCATGACATAATTTCTGGAATTATCCAAGCTGTTTAAAGGCACAGTCAACCTAGTGTATGTAAACTTCTGACCCACTGGAATTGTGATACAGTGAATTATAAGTGAAATAATCTGTCTGTAAACAATTGTTGGAAAAGTTACTTGTGTCATGCACAAAGTAGATGTCCTAACCGACTTGCCAAACTATAGTTTGTTAACAAGAAATTTGTGGAGTGGTTTTAATGACTCCAACCTAAGTGTATGTAAACTTCCAACTTCAACTGTACATTCAACATGTGTCATATTTTTTCCTATTCACACTGAAATCTATATACTCAGCTCTGTGCAAACACATAAGCACACTCACAGTTGAAGTGGCAAAAATGTGCTGTATGCAACACAAATCAATTTAAATCAAATTGTATTTGTCACATGCTTCGTAAACAACAGGTGTAGACTAACAGTGAAATGCTTACATTATGGGCCCTTCCCAACAATGCAGAGAGAAAGAAAATAGAGAAATAATAGAAAAGTAATGACATGAAATAATAAAAGTAATAATAAATACACAATGAGTAATGATAACTTGGCTATATACACGGGGTAACAGTACCAAGTCGATGTGCAGGGGTACGAGATAATTAAGGTAGATATGTACATATAGGTAGGAATAAAGTGACTAGGCAACATGATAGATAATAAACAGTAGTTAGTGCAAAAGGTCAATGCAGATAGTCTGGGTAGCTATTTGGTTAACTATTTAACTAACTATTTAGCAGTCTTATGGCTTAGGGGTAGAAGCTGTTTAGGGTCCTGTTGGTTCCAGACTTGCATCGGTACCGCTTGCCGTGCGGTAGCAGAGAGAACAGTTTATGCCTTGGGTGGCTGAAGTCTTTGACAAATTTTAAGGTATAGAGGTCATGGATGGCAGGGTGCTCAGCCCCAGTGATGTACTGGCCCGTACGCCCTACCCTCTGTAGCGCCTTGTTTCCTAGAGAGATGTAGTGCCTGATGTTTTTAATCTCATCTATCGCATTCTTTTTTTTTGACATAGTATAGCTTCTTTGAGAGAATAAGTCGGATCCAAGGGCACAGTTGTATGTTTCATAAGCTGATGTCAAATATAATGTATTCTCATGTAAAACAAATGAACGGCTGCTGTACCGAACAAAGAGGCCACGCTAGAAAAAAAAGTGAAACGTGAAGTGTGTGTGTGAGTCACGAAGGCAGCAGGTGAACTAAATCAAAGGAAACTCCTACTGATCCCTGCATGTAAAACAAGAGAGCGAAAATCAGAAACAATGAGGGTGGTTCCCATGGAGGTGAAAGGGTGGTGAGGGGACGGAAAAGCACATCCATTTTTTAACAGGAGCAGATGGGGAAACAGATGAGGGAACCACGAGGGAATCAATTATCATCACCCACTCCAACTCCTGATGAAACCAACCAACCAACTCCCCCATGTAGCTGGCTGGCTGGCAGAGACAGCTTGGTTTGGAGTGGCCATTAAGTTCCCACTAAAAGCCCTCCTGGGCCAGGGTCAAGGTACGTGAGATCCACCTCCGCCCAGAAGTCGAAAGGTCAGCAGTGATGAATGTATAGCGGATCATATCACAGTAGATGGACTGTCTGATTATCTGTGCTCATATTTGTACATTACCTTGTATTCGTTTTGTCAGAACTAGTCTAGACTCACAGAGGGCCTTGAGCCTTTTTAACTTTAATGCTGTGTGTTGATTTATTATAGTCAAATGTGTGTAGGAATCACATGGTCGTTTATTCATAACTAGGGAGGAAGGGGACAAGGAGTTTTTCCTGACCATGTGACCTTACTTGTGACTTTACTCCAGGCCCTAGAATTTCCTGGTCCAGGGAAACTCTAGGCCCTATTCATAACACATGATAGTATTCAATACTCTTGAACAAGATCTTTAACCACACTTTTATAGAAGTGATAAGTAAATATATTCAGCAAATATTTGTCATCTTCTCTTCCTGTTCTGTCTGATGTTGGAGTTATGAAGCAATGGCTGTATCTTGTTAGGTGAAGTTACTGGGCTACAGCCAGGGAGGCAGAGAAACAATTTATTACCAAAACCTTCGGTTCCAGCACTCACCCAGCTTCCCCCAGCTTCCCCAGGAACACACCACACACACTCCATCTTAAAAAGCCTGACAAGATGACAGACTCAAATTAGGTGCCAATTACAAGGCACTTGAGTGATGTGTTTGGTGGTAAGCATGGGTGTCAGCCAGACATTGGGTTGAGACCCCCTTAAGTAATTTCCATGATGCTTATAAGACTAAAGTCTAAGGCCTGAGGAGGGTGGGAACAGTGAGGCAAACACAGCATTTGAGCTGTTCTCTATTATTTTATCCTCCCACCACCGTTAAAACGTGCCTTTGGCTTATGTCAGCGACTTACAGGACAGTACAGTACAGTACCGTAACATCATTGAAATCCAAACAGTGTATTTTCTATTGGCCATTAGTCACAGTTCAGGAGTGATGAGGGAAAGCTTATTAACTGCTCTAACTCTTTCAAAATGGAGGTCATATTCCCTGAATGTGCTGCCTCAGTAAGAATTCCTTGTAGCGTAAGCACTGTTTAGCTGACGTTTAATCAAAATGCTTAAGGAGCGACCCGCATATTTCATCGATGATTATGTAGGACTACAACCGTTGCACTCCAACATGGACCCCAAGAGGGAAATAGAGAATGAAGAGAGTGTATGAAGATGAAGCACAGTTCTTACCAGGCAGTGTTGAACTCTACATGGGCATCAAAGAAGCCTACGACTGGGGCGGTTGCAGCATTCCAGCCGTGTATCCTGGCTCGGATCAGGCCCTCCCTCTTACTGTTGCGGACGATCTTTACCAGGCCTGGGTAACGCTTGTTCACATACTGGTCTAGGTTGAACTTCAGCTCCACTGGAGAGACAAGAAAAAGAGAATCAGTTATATTGGAAAACAGAAACACTGAAAGTTATGACTTCACCGCAAATGCAGAAAGTGTTGTTTGAATCTGGTATACAACAATCAATTAGCATTATTTGTCTGAAAAAAAAAATGGGGTTATGAATTGCCCCAAAAAGAACACAACAGAGCTCAGCATCATGAGTTACGTAGAAGAAGTAAAACTAGAGCGACCCAGCACAACACAGATGACCTTATTCTTTCTGTACTGTAAAAACGTTATCTCCCTCTCCCTTGACTCTACTCCAAGGGATGAGCCTGGCTTTCTTTCCATGTCACTGTCTTACCTGGAAATAAAATCAGTGAGGTAAACAAGCAGTTCCATAAATGGCCCGTCTGACTGACTGAGCCCATGTAATGTTTTTGGAGGAGCTGACGCCTGGAGCTGACGCCTGGAGCTGACGCCTGGAGCTGACACCTGGAGCTGAAGCACGGAGCTGACACCTGCTCAGCACATAAATCAACCTCTGAAAGAACACCGGATCTAATCTGTAGGTCTCAGTCGGATAGAGATGGTGCTGTCATTGGAGGTTTGTTCAGTACTTTTTGTCAGAATGAGTAAAGCTGGTCTGCCTATAAGATTTGAGGCATTAAACATTAAAGCGGCAATCAGCAGTGAAAACAATAACAAAGCTCCGCACCCCTGGTTCAGTAAAAAGCGGCGGGATGGGGCTGGAGAAATGTAACCACTCTCAAATTCATAGACAGAGCTATGGATGTAAGGATTGACCATCCATGATATAAAAAGTATTGTTTTAACCATGTTTTGAGGCAACATAGTGTTTGTTTACATTTTCTTTGTTTAAAAACATTGGAGTAAAACAAGCTTATATTTTGGGTTCTGATGGGGTACAACAGTTGAACTAAGCTCATGTGGCATTTATAGTATAAGTTATATTCTTCAAGAATCAATGGGTACATATCATTAATCTATTAGTCCAAAAATGTCTGTAGCAACCGCTGATTGCGCCTTTAAGCATCCTTTGACTACAATATGACCCTACAGACAACCAATGAGTACGGCCAAACGTTTTTCTCTGAACATGTGATCTGACCAGGAAAAACTCTGGGCCGTAGCGATAGACTACAGTGACCTGACCTCTACACCCTAGTTTAACTCCAGGCTCTCTGGGAGTTTTTCCTGGGCTTTTTTTCTGTTTGTCTATGTTTAAGTTTACTAGAATGGTTTGTGAGCTGTGTGCAAACTGTGGCTACATTGCTGCAGCTAAAAGATGATGAAACCCAACAAAGCGCAATAATTGCATGGCTGTTCTGTTGGGGAGAGAAACATTATAGGATCCCCTCTGATGCTCAGCAAACAAATAGAAAGTTGGAATGCATCCGCAGCACTGGAGAATTATGGACCATTGACTATGTTTTAAAGGGATCGACAGTGCAACACAGCAAAGAATAAATAACTATCCATCATACTGTGAATATGGAATAAACACATATTTCACCGTATAGGGAGCCATAGGATTAAAGGGTCAAAATGGTACGATTGTGGGAGGACTTTTGCTGTGTCTGATAGATTTTTCTCACATGCATTGGTTTTATTTGATCAGTCTACAGGCTTACACATTTTAATCTGCATATATCATGTGGTTTAGTTTGATGTATGACTTCTATACTATGCCTATTGCCTAATGATCCCTGTGTGGTCACCAGAGATCGAAGGCCAGTGTGTAGCCATGTTGATTAAGGCCAATTGGCAGTGGGTTACGTCATATATGACATAACTTATATAGCCTATACCACTGACAGAGAGAGATAGATGAGAGATTGGTCATTTTTTTTTCTTGATGATCAACTGCAATCCACTTGTATTTGGATTCAGCTCTCATGTCATGTTATGAGCTGTACTCAACTTTGCTTCAGTTCAACAGATCCCAGCTAGCACATAACTAGAGCTTGGTGAGAGTGTTGTTGTCCTATGGTTATTTTGCATACAACCTTCCCACAACATTCTGGGAATGGTGCAGGATACCCAGCTAGCACATAACGCACTGAGAACCATATGTTTCTTAGGTGGGAATTTCAGTACTTCAGCATAACGGTTCCGACAGGTTTCTTCATGGTTCAATTTAAAGTAATCTTCTCAAATTGTTCTGAGAACGTTAAGAAACAACGTTCTTCTGTGGGAATTACAGTACTTTAGTATAACGTTTTACTGCAGGTTTCCTCATGGTTCTATTTAAATTAATGTTCTCAAAACATTAAAAAAACGTTCAAGAAAAACCACAAGAAAACATTAGTAACGTTCTAAGAACTTTCTAAGAATGTTATTTAAAAACATACACATTCTGTTCTCAGTGTCAACCAAACTCTCTCCATCTTCTATCTTGTGAAGTGTGTTCAGGTGTGTTGGCCGCGCCCACTAATTGGCCACGCCTAATATGAATGAGTGCTTGTTTCCTTTGAAATGGAGTCTGTTTGAATAGACTAAAATCGAAAGTTTTGTAGGAGTTAAAAATACATGTCATGCTAGCTCCATCCTGGTGGCACAGTGGACAAATTCCTTGGATAGAGAACAGAAGATCATAGGTTCAAATCTCACCAAGAAATGTTGCATTAATGCCTAAACAAATTAATTTCCATGTGTCCTATCTGTGCTTGGAGTTCAAAACAGTTAACCTTAGCTAACAGTGTTATTAAAAGTCTTATTCAAACATGTTCTCAGAATGTTAATTAATTATCTTCAACTAACCTATATCTTCCGTTCTCAAAACATAAATAACATCTCCCAGGAAAACTTTCAAGGAACCATAGTAAAAAGTTCTCAGAGCCCCCTGCAACCTAAAAATAAACATTCCCAGAACAGGTGAAATTTGCTCTTCCGTTCTCAGAATGTTAAAAAAAACTTTACGTTTTACCAGTCAGGAAACTTGCAGCTTCGTTCCCAGAAACAATGGGAAACCAAAAACGGACGTTCCCACACCTTCCAAGGAACCAAATGTGCTAGCTGGGATGCTATTTTCATTATATGAACCATTAAGTTATTAATTTACTTGCCATATTTGGAGTTGAAATTCCAACAGGCCTATTAAACATTGTACTTCTGATAATATGTAAGCTGCAACAATGAATGAGTGTTTGGGACTGTTACTGTATGATATACACTGTTAGCTAAACTTCATCAAGTAGAACAAGCATTTAGTTTCCCTGCCCGCCCGGCGCCCACTAAGGCAAATGAGCAACCCTGAATGAAAATAAACCTTTCAGCAACCAATAAATGTCACTCTCTGTCCCAGCTAAAGGATATGTGTCACAAAGACAAGGCAAACATCCCACTGGGCACAGACAATTCAACGTCTATTCCGCGTTGGTTCAATGTAATTTCATTAAAATGACGTGGAAACAACGTTGATTCAACCAGTTTGTGCCCAGTGGGATGTTCCCTGTGTGTGATTCATTGTGCACCCAGCGAGCCTCTGTGCCTTACCTCTAGTCATTTCTCAGAGCCGCGGTCAAATGAGAGGAGACAGGCCTAGCCAGCAAGAAAAGGTCAAGTAGCCAAGCCTGCATGTTTATAGTCTAATGTCACTGGAGAGAACAGCTTAAACATCTGCACAAATTACCATCACCAATCACAACCAGTAAATAATGGCGTAGACGGATAGGGGGGAGTACGTGGTTTGGTATTTTACCCCGGCTGCCATTTGTGCCTACCTTGTTTGGTTTAAATTGATGCCTATTTAAGAGCCTCTACGGGGAGGCCAATGTTGACTCTTACTTGGTCCTCTTTCAGTATGTTATTTATGTGCCTCCACTCTGCGCCAGCCGGGGGGACACTGGGACTAAAACCCAGCTCCATGCCAAGTGATGGAAGGCCAAGTGTCGATTGGAATCTAGTTCATTGTCCCTCTCCTCTGAAACAGGCAGGCTTCTGGGAGTCATGGCTGAGAGGACCAGCTGCCACAGGCCATGCAGGTGTGTGGAAGCAACCAAAGGCCTATGCAGACCAAATCACCGTGAAGACTGTGTACTGCACATCAGTTCACCAGAGGATAGAGGCCTCTCTTTTTTTCTGGTTATTTTTAAACTCACTAACAGTGTTCAAGAGCACACCCTCAAGGGTTCTCCATTCCTCTCTACTTTTCCCTCGTTCATTCTCTTCTCTGAACACACGCACAAACAACACACACACAGAGAGAGAGAGAGAGAGAGAGAGAGAGAGAGAGAGAGAGAGAGAGAGAGAGAGAGAGAGAGAGAGAGAGAGAGAGAGAGAGAGAGAGAGAGAGAGAGAGAATCACACTTAAGTTAGCAAGTTTTGTGTAACTTGACTTATTAGATCATGGCTGTTTATTTGTTTTATAAGGGAATTGACTCCTCTGGCACTTTTCCCACACACAAACAGATGCAATCCTTTGTTTGTGACTCCCCCCGCCACTTTTAAAGAGACAAAAATGAATTGGAGAAGTAATGTTTGTGGAGCAATGAGCCACAACAAAATGCAGTAATGCAGTAATACAGGGATTGTGGTTATTCGAATGAGATATGGGAAACAAAACACTAGGTCAGGTAACAGTAGCAGCACTGTGACAAATGCTGATGTAAAAAGGGCTTTTGATTGATAACTTGATTGAGTACAGTCAAAAGGAATGAACAGTTAGATGGTTATACCAAAGAAGCATCTAAACTAGAAGTCTTACCACTGTCGCTGTTGTCGTCCACCAGGATGATCTCCTTGAGAAGGTGTGCAGGGGTATGGTTGACCACGCTGTGGACGGACCGCAAGATGACCGACAAGGCCTCGTTCACAAAGATGAAAACCACTGAGATCTGAGGGAGGTCCTCTGGGTAGGTCAACTGCTTGCAGCTGTTAGGAAACAAATCATACGGTTTTATAATTATGGAACACAATTCAGGATTTGGCCAGTGAACCGGTAAAAGTGAGCTGCCCTTTTTCATTTGAATAAACCAAGTCTTGTTTGAATGTTCTGAACATTCATTGTAGAAGGCAGAATATATTTAAATGCTAAATGTATGAAGACTTGTGTATGTATGCTTAGTGAATGAATAGTGTTTTATATCGATGTCCCCTAAAAGCTTACCCGGTCCCAAAACGTTTTTTGACAAAGCAAAGTAGGGGAAATAGGAACACTCTTTAATGTGAGGGTTGTGGCAAGGGAAAGCTGCAGCCTGGCTGTAAATGAAAGATGCAGCCCCTTCCTGGCTAGCTAGGTCTATTAGCTGGAGGTGAGAGGCAGATGAGGTGTAGAGAACAGGGCTGGGAATGACACCAACACTGATGGGCTAGGGCTTTTCTCTCTCTCTCTCTCTCTCTCTCTCTCTCTCTCTCTCTCTCTCTCTCTCTCTCTCTCTCTCTCTCTCTCTCTCTCTCTCTCTCTCTCTCTCTCTCTCTCTCGTCTCCACAGCCAACACTCTCTCCCTCCTTTTCTCTGTGTCTCTCCCTATCCCTCCTCCCTCCCTCTCCCACCACTCTCTCTCGACAACCCAGGATCTCAACTGGAGAAAATGCTCTTGCTGCCACTGATTAGGCCTCTCACACCAACGCATGGTAACTGGAACTGTGGAGCAGTGATTCTCATGATTGCAATCCAATTTCATGTTGTTGTTTTCAATGACCCAGTTAATGGAATGAATAGCACACGCCCACAGTTGTGGTTGCTGCTGTACACAAGCACACAAACAGGCACCATACATTAGGTTTTAGATTTTGTATATATTTTTATGCTGTTTATCATAGTCTGTTTGACTCCTCCCATTGCGTTTCCCTAGGGCTTTCACAGTAGCATAAAGCTTTGCAGGAATCTAAAGGTAAAGCTGGTCATACTGAAACGGATTCCTATGGCAACAACCAGCACACACGAACATCTTGTAAACCATCCCCCACCAGCATCCTAATTATATTTCAACTGCAATTCCTTCTGAATTCAATCTCTTTATGCTTCCCTTGCTTGTTATGCTCAACAGTGCTGTCCCACTGGGCACACTCTGGTCATTTCTATTAAATTACGTTGAGCCAACGTGGAATAGACGTTGAATTGACGTGGGGTGTTATTTAATCTTCTATTTGTCTGGTGTAATCATATTGCACCACAATTAGGTGTTAATGAAGCACTTAGTCACAATAACATGTGTTTATTTTTTCACAATGTTCTCACGTTTGGTTGAAATGAAATGTGTTGGCAAAACGTCATCACAACAAATTCTAAATTTAACTTGACTTGGCTCTAAGTAGATGAGAGCAGAGGGCACAAACAAAATGAGTCATTTAAAGCTGGAATCCTTCATGGTGAAATTGCTACTGTCCGTTTGCGATATTACAACAACAAAGACATTACTGCAAACAAACACAGTTTTTTTGCACGCGTAATAGAACATTAGCATATGTACTGCAATTATTTTTACCACGATGAGTGAGGATCCCCAGCTCTGCTTCGTCAACAAAACAAAAACAATAACAACGGCCGTGGGGCAGAGAGTGGCACCGTTTTCCCTACTGTTTCCCTACAAAAGTTCAGTATTTCTTCCCATATTCCTAGCACACAATGACAACATCAAGCTTGTGACAAACTTGTTGGATGCATTTGCAGTTTGTTTCGGTTGTGTTTCATATTATTTTGTGCCCAATAGAAATGAATTGTAAATAATGTATCGTGTCACTTTGGAGTCACTAAATACTTATATATTAACGTGGATGCTACCATGATTAAGGATAATCCTGAATGAACTGTGAATAATGATGAGTGAGAAAGATGCTGAGGGTGAAAGATCATACCCCCAAGACATGCTAACCTTTCACCATTACCAATAATAGGGGATGTTAGCATGTCTTGGGGGTATGATCTTTGACCATGTGTAACTTTCTCATTCATCAATCATTTCAGACCCACTGTGTGTGTGTGTGTGTGTGTGTGTGTGTGTGTGTGTGTGTGTGTGTGTGTGTGTGTGTGTGTGTGTGTGCACCAGATGGAACCCAGCGTGGCTCTGCGTCCTGTCCTCTCTACCCACCTAAACTTGGGAATTGTGCAGTTAGTTAGTTCTGCACAAACCAATGATGAGGCCTGTGTGTGTGTGCGTGTGTGTTTGGCCTGCACTAACTGTTTCTCACCTCACAGCAATGGGAAATGACAGTAGTGAAATGTACAATAATATGGAGAGGAGAGACTGTAAGGGTGTTATACATGGTATATCCCTCAACGGTTCATTTTAGGACCTGTCCTTTTTAAACTGTACATAAATTATGTTGGTAGAAATGTTTAAAACTCCCCCTGTATGCTGACGACACAATTGTTTACTCCTGTGCCTCTAAAATTGAGAAGGCTTTTCAGGATTTGCAACTGGCTTTTGATTCCATTCAGAAACTGTGCTGAATGCCAGAAAGACTCAGTACATTGTTCTGTCTTCAAAGAAGAAAAGTGGAGTCATTTGCAGATTTTATCTTTAAATGGCCAACTGATTGAAAGAGTATCTTCATATAAGTACCTAGGCATCTGGTTAAATGAAAAGCTAAATTTTAAATAGCACATTGAAAACTTGGGTTTAAACTGAAATTAGGTTTATATTTTAGGAACAAATCAGGTTTTTCTATGTCAGTTAGAAAGGAACTTGTGCAAGGGACATTTTTATCTGTGTTGGACTATGGTGACACTAGTACCTTTAGGGTACTGGACACAGTGTATCATGGAGTGCTTAGGTTCATAACTTATGCAATATCACTCATATCTTTGCTCCTCACTAACATCAAAATCATAATCCTACAGCCTCCACTCTCAGGACAAGGACTGAAATGGGGGAACAATCCTTCTCTCCTACAACTCTCCAAGACCGAGCTACAAAATACTTTAAAACTGAAGCTGTACAGTATATTATTTTGTCTAAATGGGTCATACTGTTAATGTATTATTTGCAGTATATTCCCCTATTCAAGTTCAAAGTGAAGTTCTATAAAAAAAAATCAGTTACAATTAAATTCTTTGATTGAAAAACGGAATTGGTTATATATCAGTTTATATACGTATACTATTTATTTATTTTTCAATACAGAATGTTCCATGTTTCCTCTCAATAATAGCAGATAGGACTGTTTTGATTGATAAGCTTTTCAGTGTATTCCTGAAATCCTTCCAAAAGGATTACTTTTCTCTCAACAAGTTTATTTTGTTCTCTTCCACAGCTTTTCTACTGCCTCTTTCAATCAGCCATACAGGCATTATACGTAAACACAAAGCCATATCTGGCAGTGAATACAAGTTAATCTTTGTGCAATGGTTTTCCTTTAGTGGGGGGACAGCCACAATCTGACAACCATGCCAAATCAAATTATGTATGTTTTATTTGGGCTTAGTTTAATTTGTCATGGCTAATGGCTAGCGTATGTGTATGAATATGGTTACCAGAAAAATGTAGGCCAGAAGGGGCCATGGCAAGAAACCAGATCACTTCAGTTGAGTTGTGTCTATGTGCAAATTCAGTGTCGAGGTTGTTAAGTGATATTGTAGTTCCAATGCCCTAGTTACTGAATCCAATGTAGGTCATCGCTCAACCTTAAATTTGTACCTGTCTGCAGGAACGGGGAGACTTGTAGGTCCATAACAGTATGAGCGATCGACTCATCTGTTTGTAATGGAACTAAGCTCACTGGCAAGCTCTCATAATTTGACCTAGAACGATCTGTGACAGAAACAGAGCACCAGATTAAGACTTATTCCCATCACACTCCCTCTTCGGCCTGTGACGCTGGCCGGCCCGTCTGCTTTTCACAGCCATGTTATTTGCTTTGAAATTTCACATTAACCTGAGATAACCTGTGCCGCACAGGAAATCTGAAAGCAACTCTACCCCTATAGAAAAGGTTGTTCTCAAAAATACATTAGTTTGCCTTGTCATTTCGCTGCCCTGTTGAGGAGATAAACTCAGCTTTCGTAGGAGAAACATTTGAGCTGAAAGCATTTTACTTACAAATGGCCACTGCGGTGACCTTGCAATCCCATTCCAGGGTATCAGAGGCTTAAGAAATTAGGTAGCGCCCAGCCGCGTGCCCTTCCTTTTGCTTTATAGTCTAGTTCTCCTAGTCCCAGATGCTGAAGGAAGACAAGTCTTTGGGGAACCTCAACATCTGTCGCATTGCTTGATCTCAATGAATATCGGAGCAATATTGTCACGTCTTGCTACGAATGAGTACAGATGTTATAGATGAATTGAAATAGAAAATATTGTACAACTTTTCATCACGGGCTAAAGAGGCAAACTAGACAAACTAGAGAGCAACAGAGAGCTAACAGCATGGACATTGCATTTTCACATTGACTGTGAGGTATAGGCTTGAACTGTTTTTCATTTTCTTTCTCATTCAGATGCTATTCTCTTCTGCCCTCTGTGAACCTCAGGTGCTAGCTAGTGCATCATTATTATTTGCCCATCCCTTCTCTAAGACGTATTATTGCTGCATTGTGCTAAAGGCCACCTAGGATGGACAACATATTGTGGTGTGACAGCAGTTCCTGGTTGGGATAATAAAGCCTCTAGTTAACTTCCTCTGGATCACTGTTAGAAAATGTCACCGCTGGAAGGATTGGCAACATAAAGCTCAGACCACTGGACAGTGAATGGGGATAAAAGTGGTTAGGGAAATGCTCCGTCTTGACAAATCCTAATTTGACCATGAGCTGATAGTGGGCTGTAATTAGAATTAATAGATCGGCGGTAGGTCTTAAAACCCTACAAAATGAAAAAATCTATATCATATCCAATGGATACAGAGACAGAGGGGATGAGGAGTGTGGATGTAGAGATCATTCAATAATCCCCCCCAGCCTCCTTGTGTTTGTCAAACACCTCTCTGCTCCATGACTCCTGTGCAATTATGGCATTAGACCAGAGGTGTCTTGTGTTACCCTTCCAACACTATCCTACAGACCCCAATCCTATACTTTGCTGGCTCAGGTATTTTCATTTCACATTGTCCTTTCAAGCAATGTTTCAGAAACCAAGGTGGATGCATAAGCAGGCCAATGCAGTACAGATCAGCTTGGCTCGGCTCAGAAGTGTGGAAATGGTATCAGTATATTGAAGATGTGTCTTGTGTGTTTCTGCACAGCCCAATTCAGTCCAATCTGCAATGCCATGCACCCACATAGTATGAAAATAGCCCTATTCCTTTCCTGCACCAAGGACCCATGTTTTGATAACAAAGTCCTTGTCTTGTTTCTATCAGTAGACATTCAACAAGGTCGTTCAAAGTGCAGGGACAATGTTTGTTTTATTTCATTCGAGCCATGGTGCAATAATATGCAGAACAGTAAGACACGGATATGTTAAGCTAAACATATTGATTTCCTTTATGCGTAGGGAGCCCACTGTATCTTCACCAAACACTGTGTCTATATGGTTATTATGAACTGCTTTTGTTTGGGGAGGGGTTCACCCTCTGGAATGACCTGTTTACAGCCAAAGAAACGGCATATCTTGCTGCACATGTTTGTTAATGGGACCGTGAACAATTGTGTTTTTCTGAAATAGAGGCAGACACACATACACGTCGCACACACACACGCACACACACACATACACACACACACACACACACACAGCATAGAACTGCATGAATCATTATTTCCACAGGGTATACATAACATACAGCTGCCCCTTAAATTAGTGTCAAACACAGGACTGACGGTATGATTATCTATCACGAGGGAGTAAACAATACATGGAGATAAACGGTTTAGCCAAACCGTTAACACTGACTTCCTGTAAACATGATCAAACCGTCAACACTGACTTCCTGTAGACATGATCAAACCGTCAACACTGACTTCCTGTAAACATGATCAAACCGTCAACACTGATTTCCTGTAGTACATGATCCTGTAGACATTCAAACCGTCAACACTGAGTTTATAGACTGATCAAACGTTAACACGACTTCCGTAGCATTATCAAACGTAATACTGACTCCTGTAAACTGGTCAAACTGTACACTTCCGTAGACACAAACCGTCAACACTGACTTCTGTAACCAACAATCAACAACTTTCTTAGACATGATCAAACTGTCAACACTGACTTCCTGTAGACACAATCAAACTTTACAAACTTTTTACCGATCAACTGTCACCTGACTTCCTGTAGCACATCAACATACACTGACCTGTACACGATAACCTCAACACGAGTCTTGTAGACATAATCAAACCATCAACACTGAGTTCCTGTAGACATGATCAAACCGTTAACACTGACTTCCTGCAGACACGATCAAACCATCAACACTGACTTCCTGTAGACACGATCAAACCGTCAACACTGAGTTCCTGTAGACATGATAAAACCGTTACACTGACTTCCTGTAGACATTATCCTCCTCATAAAGAACCATTTCCTCAAATCCAATTTTCCACCAAGCAGTTTTCAGCTGGTTATTAATTAGTAACCCGTCTTTTCACTCTTTCCCTCTCTCGCTCTCTCCTCTCGTTGATTTTCCAGTATGAAAGAAAGGGAAAGGGGATTACAAAGTGGATGTGGATCAAATGAATTGTTATCCCCAGCAAAGCCCAAAGAATTCTCTGGACGTCTCTCTCTGTCTGTCTGTTTTTGTTCTCTGACACGGGCTGATCTAAACTCCAGTGGCATGCCTTATTACAGGGTTCTTCAATTCCGGTCCTGGAGGGCCGAAACATTTTGTTTTTTATTTCTACCTGGTAGTTAATTGCACTCACCTGGTGTTCCAGGTCTGAATTAGCCCCTGATTAGAAGGAGAGGATGAAAAACAGAGGTGTCTCTGCCCTCCAGGACCGGAATTGAAGAACCCTGCCTTATTATTTGCTCACAGTCATTGTATCACATTCTAAATATAAGATTCAGTTAAAAAATACCATTAATCTTCCCGCTGGGGTCTCCACGGTCTCTTTCAGAAGAAATACTGCTGGACTCTCTTTCTTTTATTGCATTATTAACTAGCCTGCCGCCCCACTATCAACATCATCTCTGGCTGTCTGGGACAATGTCTTTTCATGTAAGGATTACTTGTGTCTTATGCAATTTCCTTTGTAGCTACGGAGACAAGGCAAGGCTAAAAACCTATTTTGGGTTTCTCACTGTTTTATAAGATCTGTGGTTTCTTACCTCAATTCAGTTGGCTCTTTTATTCTTGCTCCTTAGTTGGAGAGTTACCTACAGACAGTGTTCTTTTCTTCTGCACAAATAAATATAATAAAACATACTAAATGAATAAATAAATAAAGTCAAACCTACTTTTTGGGTCTGTAGTCTGGGATGCTGCGGTCCAGGGAGATGCGGTCACTGAGCTGGGCGTTGTAGCCGTACTCCTCGTACTTCCCCTCCCCGTCAACATGGCTGTTGTCCCCCAGAGTGGCAGCTGCTCCTCCCTGGCCCAGACCCCCAGGCCCCTCCACCAGCCCCATGGGCTTTGCCAGCCCTAGAGGACAAACACACAGACATGCACATGCAGGCACACACGCACGCAGACATAAATGCACACGAACACAGACACATGCTCACACACACACACACACACACACACACACACACACACACACACACACACAGGGAGACAGAGAGAGACGGACAGACAGAGAAAGAGACAGAGAGTGGTAGGTGAGAGGAGAGGCCATGCAGAGGGACAGCTGATTGGCATTCATGGGCTGTGAGGATCATGGGGAGTGCATCATTACACTGTCTGTCTTTAAAGGTGCTGAAAATACCAACCTGGACATGGATTTCTCAAGGTGACAAAGCAGAATGACCAGCAGAGAAAAAGCAGTGGCGTGCAAGACATAGAGATACACATACATTATAACGTCTGAGTTCTATTTCTATGGCACAAGCATTGCATTAGAGATATGTACACTGAGTGTACAAAACATTAAGAACACCTTCCTAATATTGAGTAGCACCCCTCCCCCCCCCCCCTTTGCCCTCAATTCGTCGGGGCATGGACTCTACAAGGTGTCGAAAGCATTCCACAGGAATGCTGGCCCATGTTGACTCCAATGCTTCCCACAGTTGTGTCAAGTTGGCTGGATGTCCTTTGGGTGGGGGACCATTCTTGATACACATGGGGAACTGTTGAATGTGAAAAACCCAGCAGCGTTGCAGTTCTTGACATAAACCGATGCGCCTGGCACCTACTACCATACCCCGTTCAAAGACACTTAAATATTTTGTCTTTCCAATTCACCCTCTGAATAGCACACATACACAATCCATGTCTCCATCGTCTCAAGGCTTTAAAATTATTCTTTAACCTGTCTCCTCCCCTTCATCTACACAGATTGAAGTGGATTTAACTACTGACATCAATAAGGGATAATAGCATTCACCTAGATTCACCTGGTCGTCACTCTATGTCATGGAAAGGGCAGGTGTTCTTAATGTTTTGTACACTCAGTCTACATTTCCCTGGTACTGATCATTTTACAGGATATCAGGTCTAAAATCACTGTTGGAATTCTCCTCATTTGGAAAAGCATATTAGATACGCTTTCGGTTAACCTAATTAGAATTAGACTGAAACTGGTTGGGACTGACAGGTTTAAAGATACTTTACAGATACTACTGGCCACAACAGCAGCTCTCTAGACTGTTATAATTCCCTGCAGAGGAAGGGGTCGCCTGGGTAAATAATACAAAATCTATCAACAAACAAATACAGCTTTTCAACTACACATCGATGGCCGTTCACTAAGTGACTTTAAGTCATCCCACTGGTCACACACAGGTTGAATCAACGTTGTTTCGATGTCATTTTAATGAAATGACGTGGAACCAACGTGGAATAGAAGTTGAATTGATGTCTGTGACCAGTGGATCACACATCAGAAATAAATATGTGTCTGTGAAGTCTCCAACTATTGTAATTGACATCTGATTGAATGTCTCAGACAAATCACCCTGATGCTCTTATTAAAATGACACAGTACAATGAATTTAGCAGACTAGAACACAGTTCCCCTCTCTGTGACATTTTTAAAGGGGAAAGGAATGTGTACAATGGGTTATCAGAAATTAGATTTTCAGAGATCTCAGCAGTCTCATCAAGTGAATGCTCTTGGAAGTTTTCAGTCTTTAATCACAGACAGTGATATTTTGCTGTTATCAATGTAGAACTTTCCAGAACGACATCAAAGTCTGGCTCTTAATTATACTTTTGGTTTGTATTTACATTCCTGGCTCGTTCTTTTTTTTACCTTTTACGTTAAAGTATCATTTACATTTTAGTCATTTAGCAGACACTCTTATACAGAGTGACTTACAGTTAGTGAGTGCATACATTATTATAAAAAAATGAATAAATCATACTGGCCCCCCATGGGAATCGAACCCACAACCCTGGCGTTGCAAACGCTGTCGTAGAAATATATATGACTCGAAAGTAGTCAACTCAAACATATCTCACAAGAAACTAGAGCCTGTGAATCCAAAAATTAGACTTTTATTATCTATTAACAAAAGCCGACTGTCTCTCTCTGGCTTAGACATACCTTTTATACACCCACACACAACTGCACAAACATGCGTACATGGCATATAGTTACCCCCTTATGGCAAATTCCTAACTTATTTTAGTTCTACACCACCCTTCTTTTCAACGTCCAACTGTCACACAATGTCCACTCCAAAAGGTAATGAATGCTTTTTTCTATATGAAGCCTCTCATTCTATCATTCTATTGGCTGCGTGGCCTAGGCCCCTTCTTAAAAAAGAACTACGGTAATGCATACCATGTGTCCATAACAAGCCCATGGGCCACAGTTTGAGAGCCCCTGCGACAGAGCACATACATTCATTTAAACATAGTCATGTTTATTACTAATATTATTATTTTACCTTTGACCTCTCCCTACATTTGCCTTAATGATACATAAAATAATACCATAACGCCGGCCATTCCCTACCACACCCTGGACGACGCTGGGCAAATTGTGCGCAACCCCATGGGTCTCCCGGTCATGGCCGGCTACGACAGAGCCTGGATTCGAACCAGGATCTCTAGTGGCACAGCTAGCACTGCAATGCAGTGCCTTAGACCACTGCGCCACTCGGGAGACCGAGTATGGAGTGAGTCTCATAGCTCTTTCTCTCGTCTGGATATTTTAGACTCTGCTGCACATTGTCTAGGTATGAAGTCTCATAGCGTTTCTGGTTTGGATATTTTAAACCCTGCTGCACAGTGACATTGTATGGGCTTAATTTGATCTTCCTGTCATACTTCCAGTGTGATCTCCACAGGTAAACCATGTTGCCTCTTCTCAATAGATGGACAGAAACAGCAAGTTAACAGGCCATACTAATGAAGATCTAGGGTCACACATTCTCCCACAAGCCATTGCAAGCAAAACGTTTTGGGGGAGAGGGCTTTGAGGTTCTGAGAGATTTGCCATTGGAGCTGAACGGTTGGCTGTTGCAAGCTGTCACCTCTCACGAGAGGGATCACATTAGGGACAATGCAGTGGTGTCATCTGACACCCTGGGTGGGGTTCAGTAGTGTTATGAACCCATTCTGAATCCCAATTGCCCACTCTCATAACACTGAGGTAATCTAAGAAGCAACAGAAAGTGAAATCTGGAGTGCCTCTCTGCGTGAGACTCAGAAACAGCCTAACATCCCTGCAGTTTAGTTTTCCACAGTCCGTCAGTTATTTTTCTCCCCTCACTCTCTGCTTCTTCTGGCTGGTTGAAGAAAATTCCATTAGAGGATGAGCGGATGCACTCACATTGAGCCAGGAAGTCTGTCCGCTGTTTGCTGCTGCCTGACAGAGTGGAGAAGAGATATTTTAACATAGGCCTCGTGCGACTGACATGGTTTGAACCTGGGTATCTTACACAACAGAAGAGCACATTAGCCCGCTAAGCTAAAGCTTAGTCAGTGGTCCAATGCAACTCTACGTCTAAAGCAATGTTATTCATCATCAGTGGTGTAGTGGAAGGGTAAATGCAAGTAAACACAGTTTACCCACCTTTTTTTATTTTGCGTGACAGTTCACCCACCTTTGCAGAAAAATCCATTGTAAGCATAGGGAGCGTTACTCTTTTCTCTGTGACCGGCGATCAGAGTTTACCTTCCTATTTTTTTTACCACTACATCACTGCTCATCATGTGAGTGTGGTCCAGAGTACTGGTTTGATCCTGTGTTGTTTATACACAGGATCAAACCAGCAATAGCAAACAGAACCGGCTCAGGGATTTGGTGGTGATTGGTTTGGAGCTGCCTTTGTTTTGCTGCTGCCGATACAATTGGGCTTTGATAATACCTCAGAGGATCATTTGTTGTAGCTACAATTTCTCACTCTGCTGCTGATTCATCTTTTCATGTTATTTTTTTATTGAGGCTGAATAGTCTGTTGATTAGAGCAAAGCAAGGAATCCTTACAATGCCACAACTTATTAGTGCAAATAGAGGGGTTTAGCTTTTGATGAAAACTGACAAGTCCGCTACAAGGATGAATACTTATTGGAAATATTACATTCAATTGTGTTTTATTACAAACCACTCTGAATTGGTACAGTATATATTGCTAAGTGTGTAAAGCTACTTGAGCTATTAAATTAGACAAGCCTCAAGCCATTCAATATAATTCACATTCCAGACATAATAGAACATTAAATGATTGCATTCACTAAAACCAATGAGTAGGTAAGTCATTTTCTACAACAATGAGAGATGTCCCACACAAGTCAACAAAATACAACAATAATATGGTTGTGCGATTCATCATTGAAATATATTGGACTCTCATTCAGGGTAAAAAATATTGTGAATCAGGTTGGGCAAACTATTGGGGCACACGATGATGGCATATGCTCCAGCTACCACAGTGTTTGGCCAGGACTGTGAATGTCAGTGCACCTCTATGACTAATCGTGTTACTGTACTGTTGACCACAGTGTTTGAGCACTATGCTTGTACCATTGGGTTGGACCTGTATACAATGAGCAGAAACATTAACTTGTTCAGTCAAGGCAGACAATATGCCTACCATGATGTAGTTCTGTGAATATAAAGCAGAATAAATCTGGGAAGGAAGGGTAGGGGAATCAAGGACACTTGATTTTTCCAGGCTTATTAGATTGACTGATAAGACGCTTTTAAAGGACTTTTCGTGTCTGGGGTAAAATTGTACATTGCTTATTCACTATGGCAAAACCACCAAAAAGAGCTTCAAGCTTTTTAGCCTAAACAGAAGCATATCTACAGATGTGTGTAATCCTATCCTATTGTGATGATTTATGTTGTATCACTGACACATCCTCAACCCAATATCCTTTACTTCCTCTAGTGTCATTCTTCAAACTGCACATTAGCAAAACACCTTAATTATCCCTCAATGAGGTAATTACAGGGAAACATCTGGTTGTTCCACTGTAAACACACAGGCACTATTCCCTGTATTAAGAAGTTAGCAGCACGCTATG